ACACATTGGTGGAGCCAGAGCTCTCTGCACCCTCACGGGTGAGATGCACTTCTCTGCAAGCAGTGTGGTGTTTCTAAGTCAGATCCAACCTGCTACAGGTGAGGTTTGCAGTCCCACAGCCCTGACTTACAGCAATCACCCCCAAGGGCTTAAAACACAGACAGGCAAAGCTGTCCTAGCCTGTTGCTGAGTTGGGTTTATAAGAAAGGACTAAGAAAAACACGCAGCTTATGGCTGCCTCAGGGAGAAACCTATGGAGATGGTCATCACAAGGGGAAGTGAACTGCTCTGGTGAAACAGAAAGCTGCAATAAGGGGTAATGGTTGAAACTGGAGCTTGCAGCAAGGTGCTCACAGTGGCTTTCTCACATCAGCAGTTTGTAACACAACGGTGTAACCGCAGCAAAGCACTGAGCACCAACTGCAGGAGATGGGGCAATGGTCAGCCCTGCCTGTGGCCTCTTGCCACTTGCTCAGCCTTTGTAACCCTGCGCTGTGTCCCCCAGGTCATCAGCGTGCCTGAGGGAGATTTCTTCTTTGACTTTGTGAGACACCTGACGGACTGGATAAAGAAAGCAAGACCGGCAAAAGATGGTAACAGTGACTTTTCTCCATTGTGGGTCACACAGAGCCTTCCTAGGGCTCTTCAGCCCTTTCAAACAAGGTTGACCACAAAGTCTGCCACGTCTGTTGGGCCACACTCCTGCAGATGTGCTGTCTGCACCAGCCCTGGGGACATCACCTGGGAGATGATCGGTCCAGGAGCAGCGAGACCTCTGCTCCAGGGCTAGACCTGGCCCCTGTGAGGAGCACCTGCTGGCAGACCGCTCTCCAGGGCTGGCCCACGGGAAGGTTTCAGCGGTGGGATTCATCTCACCTTGCTGCCCACATCCACAGCAGAGCTGTCTGCAGCTCTGCTGAATGTATCAGTGGCTGCAACTCCTCCGTCCTGCATTAGACATGAGCATTGTCACTGAAATGCAGCCGTACAAACGAATCCAGGCATTCTTTCCATTTTGTTCGAGCTTTGCAAGGGAAAGATGTGGTTTTCTCCGCAAGGTCTTGCCAGTGCCCCTGTCCCTGCAGGTTGTGACAGCACACGGGCACCACTGGCTTTCAGGGACACCCTCACAGCACTGCTTTTACATACCCGCTCCCTGCTTCCTTCGCACAGGTATAGTGCCTTCCCTCACCTACCAAGTGTTCTTCATGAAGAAGCTGTGGACCAACACAACGCCTGGAAAGGACTCAATGGCAGATTCAATCTTCCACTACTACCAGGTACTCTGGGAGCTTGCAGTAGCAGTGGAGACTTGGGAGGAATTAGGAATGGGTTAGAAAGGCTTTGTCCATTTGCAGATGGCCGAAGCCTTGCATTAAATAAAAAGAAGTCCTGCCTTAAAAAGAGCACTACAAAGAATGCTGTTGGGTTGCATGGCAAGGAGCAGACTTCATGCACTTTAGGGTAGCCAGCTCAGCTGGGATTTGGGCCAGCTGTTCTTGGGTGAGTGGCAAGAAATGTGAAAGGCTGAATTCAGAAGCATCCTGAGGGTTTTCAGCCACTTCCATTCATGGTGATGAGCTGCGATGGTCCCAGCAGTCAGATAAGAAGTTAAAGTTCTTCTGCTCTTGTTTCTTCTGGGATGGAGGAAACACCTTCATGTCCCAAAGTGCTCTCTCACACACACATACACTCGCTATGTTCTTGCCTGGATAAAGTGGTTATCCCAATATGGCTGTATCCCTTAATGCTTGAGTTAGTCACTTGACACATATTCAGGCACTTTTGGTAATGAGGGAATAGACTTTTAAAATAACAAAAAAAAGCAGAAAACCTATTCAATTCCAAGTGGCCATTACAGGGTTTCCTGGAATGAGGGAGGGTGAACAAGACTGTAGGTTCACACACTTGATAGCTAGCACAGGAGCCTCCTTGTTCCATGTCACGGGAAACTGTTTGAGACCAGAAAGCATCTTTAAACATCTAATGTGGTCTCAGGTGACCAGCTGCCTCTCCACCACACTCAGCACAACTGCTACGCATGTTCCCAAGGCAGAGCATCTTAGCCAGGGGCTGGAGACCTCCACAAACTCCATTTAACATCTGTGGATGAAGGTCTGTGGTCATCCCTTCTACCTCTGAATTGTTTTTTTCCCCATGTAGGAGTTACCGAAGTACCTGCGTGGCTACCACAAGTGCACACGGGAAGAGGTCCTGCAGCTGGCGGCTCTCATCTACCGGGTGAAGTTTGAGGATGACAAGTCCTATTTCCCCAGCATTCCGAAGCTCCTGAAGGAGCTGGTGCCTCAGGACCTCGTCCGGCAGCTCTCTCCAGATGACTGGAAAAGGGTAAAACAGCAGCTTGAATCATATGCCAGGCCTGGGTGGGGGAAGCCCAGCCCCTCGAGTGACTTGTCTGACATTCAACATTGAATTTGGGCTGCCAGAATGAGTTGCCCATGGTCCCTCTTTATCCTTAGCAGAGCTGCAGCATCCCCAACGTCAGTAAGAGGAGGAATTGTACATGCGTGTTCATACATGCCTTGCCGTGGGTTCTGTTTGCGCTGCAGGCGGCTGTGGCTGCAGTGGTGGATGCAGCGCGATATGGACACATGTGGGAGACAGTCTCATGTAAAGATCTGCTGTTTAAGGCAGACTACTGAGTTGAGGGGTAATTCTCCCCACTTTACACACGGAGAGCTGTGGCACAGGTACAGACAGGTCTAGAGCCGTAAAATAACATAGGTGTCTTACTGCCAAGAAATAGTCCTTTCTGTTTCCCGGGACTTAAAGCCATGTGCCTAACTAGCAAGCTGTTGGCTTCTCTGGGTTGAAGGGTTCTCAGTCTCCTCTGCTGCATAAATTGGAGGATCAAAACGTATAATCCCTTTAATGGAGTCACCAACACAACTCAACTAAAGAAAGAAGGACCTGCCTTGGTTCTAGGCCCTGCTCCAGTGACAAGCCAGCACTTTTGTGAAGAGTTCATTGGATCAGAGACTAGAAATGACCATCTTTGTGAGACTGATGCCCTTTCCCTGCAATCATCCCTGGTGCTAGGTAGTGCAAACCCTCCAGCTCTGTTGTGTTCTCTGTTGCAGTCCATCGTGGCATACTACAATAAGCACGCAGGCAAAACAAGAGAAGAAGCCAAGCTTGCCTTCCTAAAGATTATCTTCAAGTGGCCTACATTTGGATCAGCATTCTTTGAAGTGAAGGTACCTGCCCTGCTTGGGGGTTCTCTGGCACCTTTGAGCCAAGGTCAGGAGCCCTGTACCACAGAGGGGTTCCAGGTATGCAGGGTTGTCCTAGTGTCTGGACCAGACTGAGACAACCTCAATGAAGCAGGGAAAGTGTGAGACCCTCCATCAGCAAAGGACCGACACACTCATTTGTTGCTGCCCCGCCTCTTTACATAGACCGAGGCATGGTAGAGCTTCAGCATATCTCAATCATTTGGTCTATACTCTAGACTGTGCTGATGAAGAGCCAAGAGCCATCCTCTGTTTTGCCAAGGCAAAAGGGAGCGTGCAGTTTTCCAAGGGACGTGTCTACATGCACCACAAACCAAACCCAGACCACACACCACGGCACCAGGCTCCTGTGAAAGGCATTAGAGGCCTGTAGTCATGAAGTCTGTCAAAGTGCTCTGGTTGCCTTATTGCAAGTCCTTCTTCTCAATGACCACCCAGTGAGCCTGGGATGGAAACAAGATGCTGAAATTACTCATCAGTTCCTTGAACTTGGGCACTCCATTTTCTGTCATGTCCATCTTAGATGGCATAAGGGATCTGACTATATCCTGTGATTTTTCCACCAAAAGTGACTTGGTAGCCAAGAAATCTGTGGCAGGGACAGGAGATGAGCCCCCATCTCCTGTGCCCTACCTCATTAATGGAACAAATTAAATGTCCTCATGGCACAGGGTTGGGAGAAGGGTTTACCTGCAGGAACAAAATTGAATGTAAAGATCAGAAAGGGAAGAGCAGTGTAGTTTTGGCCTGGAGGTCCACAGCAGCAGGCATGAGGAGGAGCAGAGGGACTGGAGGGGAAAGGAGATGTCTGGGATTTGCCAGACTGTCACAGCTCTTCCTTGCACGGTAAGGAACTTAATGCTGTCAGCAACTCACCTACTGGTTGTCACGCATTTAGGAGATATGTACTTAACTAGACAGCGCTGACTATGGCTGATACCTTAATGAGCTCTATGTTTATCTTTAACAGATAAACTGGATAGCAGTTAATGGGCTACCAAATGCTGGCAGGAGAAGACAGTGAGAGAGGAAATAGGAAGGGGTCTGATTTTGCCTGATACATCCCCTAACCAGTTAATCTCCTTTCTAACAGCAAACTACAGAGCCAAATTATCCCGAAATCCTTCTAATTGCCATCAATAAGCATGGAGTCAGTCTCATCGATCCCAAAACCAAGGTAAGCAAAACTGAGTTCTTCACCAGATGCTCCTGAGCCCACTCCCCAACCCCATACAGAGGTCATCCCAAAAAACATGTTGTTTAGAACTTCAGGAGTTATCATTAAGCCTAGTTAGAAAGGCTGGATAGCCAGAAAATTTTCTGGGGGTGGAAATTCACTGTTGCTCATAGCCAGCCCAGCCTTTTTGAACAGGAGGTGGACTGGGAGCATCAACTGTTAGGGCCATGTAACTGGGGGACACACACGCTCCTTCCTTAATCCTTTCACAGACATTAGGACAGGACCTGGAGTAAATGAGCTCCTACTAGTTACTTCCACCAGTCACATGGTCCTTCTAGTATGGCAGTCCTCCACAAGCACTCACTGCCATTCCCGTGAGGGCATGGTACAGTGTCATCTCAGCAGACATCCTTGGTCTGCTTTGATGGAAAGTGAACAGGGACATGAGAGATCCCCACAGCCCTTTGTGGAAGTTGAGACTTTCACATGTTGAGTGTCCCTCTTGTGCTCTCACCAGGATATTCTCATCACTCACCCCTTTACCAAGATCTCCAACTGGAGCAGTGGCAACACGTACTTCCATATAACCATTGGCAACCTGGTGAGAGGAAGCAAGCTGCTGTGCGAGACCTCCCTGGTAAGGAGTGTTAAAGATTATTGGGCACAATTAGACCAAGTCCTGACTTTGGCACCAAAGTTAAATTCTTCCAGAAAATTGTGTCTCAGGGATTCTCTGGGCTGAAAGTGGTCTCTTAGAAAAACCCTTGGCATGTTTTTTCTTCTGGATTTCCCATGGCTCAATGAATTAGGGCTCTCACTTCATCCATCATCCAACTTTATCAGCAAGCCTGAGGTGCTTGGGACATTGCCATCTCGGGAGCCTGAGTCCCTGTCACCAGATTGAAAAGCATGTTAAGGCAGATGTGGGCTCAGGGGGGTACTCTTGAGCCCTTTTACCAAGATCCTTTGCTCAGCTTGTCCCTAGTAACAGTCACAGCAACAAACCTCCTCCTAGACTATCTTAAAACCAAAGCAGAAAGGATAAAAATTTCTGCTGGATTGTTATTGAGTCATTCATGATTTTGTTGGCCGTTTGAAAAGCCAGGTCCCATACAAAGCTCCCTACGTCCTTAGCCTCCACAGCATCCTTGGATGGTGAGTTCCTCCATCTCAACACTGCAAATTATGTTTGGACTGTGTTCCTTGCGGTGGTGTCATTTCACCGAAGGAGAATGGTGGAACAAGTCAAAATGTACCTGAAAACTTCCAAGTCAACAACTGGTAGCCAGTGTGTTCAGGAGGCACAAGCCAGAGACTGTAAACTGTGCTCTGAAGGCAGGTAACATCTTCTCTCTCCTCCTCAGGGGTACAAGATGGATGATCTTTTGACCTCGTATATCAGCCAGATGCTAACAGCCATGAGCAAACAGAGGAGTGCAAAGGGTACCAAGTGAACTGCAAGAAGCCACTGGCAGGTGGCCATGGGGCTAATTCAACAGCTGAGGCCTGTGGGATACCCGTGCAGCTGGGGGAGAACCTTTGCCTCACAGATGTGGAAGATGAGCCGAACACCATCAGGGAGTTCACTGGACTCTGACCTTGAGGGCTCAAATCCCACCTCCCTTTCCAGCGAAGACGACTATCTCTGACCTCCCGTTCTCCTTCCCCACCCTGCACCCCAACTCCATCTTACACCTCAAAGATTTCCAAGGGACACCACTGCCCAGACAGTGACTGAGCAAAGACACTGCGGCAGGAAGTTTGCCTGAACCCAGTGGTTGGCATCGCAAAGGCTCTTGGAAGAGGATTTGTGTGTGTGTGTGTGTGTGTGCGCGTGTCTTCGTTTGGTTTGTTTTTTTGTTAAGTGAGAACGAGCTATCAGGATGCTAACAGCTTTTGGTGAGGTTATGGGCATTTCAGGTTTGAAGAGGAATAACAGACCCCCAAGCTATGTTGGAAAGCTATCCAATGAACACTGAAGGGCTTTTTTTTTTTGCTATTGCGAAAGAATACGTTGTGTTCTTAAGGAGAGAGAGAAAAAGCAGGCTGGGAGGAGCACATTTTAGCTAGGAATCAGAATAAACAAACTACTAATTGAACAGGCTAGAGTACTAAAGTGCTGTCTGTGCAATGCTGGAAATATTTAAAGAACAAATTTTAAAGTTCTGTTTCTTCTTCTATTTATTTTTTAAAATATTAAAAAGAAAAAAAAAAAAAAAAACAACCTGCATTTCGTGCCGGTATCTGGACGCTGACTTGGGACTGAGGGCAACTGCAGGACAATCCCTCACCCGGGGATTCCCCGAGAGCCACGACTGCCGGAGACTGAGTAAGGTACATCTTTCCCAACTTACCGGCTCAGCTGGAAGTGGAGCTTGGACGACAAATTATCTCCTTTTGCTCCCTGTGTCCAGGCAAATTGACCATGGAAGGATCTTTACTACAAGCTTCAATATGGATGTAGGGGTTTTGAAGTCCCCATGCTTGGAAGGCTGAGACCAACCCCGTGCTGGGCTGTGATTCAAACACAGACTTGGCCATCAGGGTTGGAAACAGCTAATGATTTTATTGTGCTTTTGTGTGTGTTGCTGTATAAAATGGCTCTTTGCAAGTCCCAGCTGGACCTGAACCACTCACAGCGAGGGCAGGCCCTTGATTTCTGTGGGCTTTTCTCCATCTTTGGTTGGCTGTACTAACCTGTGGCTGGGTGTCCTGTC